TCTTTTATTCAAAGATATAAACTTTGTTACAACCAGCTCAATATTTTTTTTCCAGGTAATTTCTCTCCTTACTTCTAGACTTTCTTCTTCTCTCAGTTTTTCCATATTTTTCCTCATTTTTTGACCAGTGCTTCCACTGCTATATCTATTCATTCCAAATTTTTCAGTTGCCTTTTTTATGTAATAACAGTTTGTTGTTTAGCATTGAATATTAAAGTTGTTTTTCTGCACTCAAATCAATTCAACAGGTTGAAGATACTACCGTATAATTCCTTTGTAAGAAAATAATAATGGTTGCACAAAGGTTTGGGTCACGCAAAACTTTATTGCAAGTTGAATAATTTATATTAATATTTGTCACCATGAAGTAAGAGGAAGAAAAATGCAGTAATTGGCAGGTAGAATGATAAGGAATACCTTTGGATATGTTTGACCCTACAGAAGCTTTCTTTGAGCTACTTTTTCATCTTTGAAAGGTATCAAAGCATGAGGGCCTTTTTTTAGATTTTTGTTAGATTATTTTGGTAATGAAATACTTTATATTTTATCCTGGTTCTGTGTGTTCACTAAAAGCAATTCTTCTTTTGAAAAAAAAAATAAAAAAAATAAAAAAATTCTTCTCTCGTGTAGGACCAGAGAGGTAAGAAACAGAGCCAATAGGTTTTCTGCTGTATATATAAGCCAGAGGAAATGTCTGTTATACTGTCATGGTGATTTTCTGATGGATTGGAAGTCAGAGTCCATCCACAGAAGGTTGACTTCATACATAAATAAAAGCTTTTCAATCAACAGTATATATTTCCAAAGCTTCTTTCTAAGGTTTGCCAGCACACACATTTGTCAAGGTTTAGCACCTGATTTTCACAATTCAGTCAAAATGAACTTGTACGTACAGGGAGTACTGCAGTTACCAATATCAACTGGACACAGGTACTGCAGGGTTCTTTTTTTTCCTTCTGTGAACAGATGCCCTTTGGAGGTCTGTGGTCTGCTGGGCAGCCTATTTCCTTTCTGGGTATTTTTTTGCCATCAAATCTCTAACATTATATAAGGAACCCAAAATTTTGGACTGAGGAGTCTTCCCACTGTTGACTGGCTTATAAAGGATTCTAAGAAATAGTTGTTACTGAGGTGTATAAAGAGGCCAATTAGGTTTACAAGAGGCCTAACTAAAAGCCTCCTTTCCTTCTGTAAAGGACAAAAGTACCTAAATAAATGTAAGATGTGGTCAGTGGTTTCTCTTTAGCATAAGCAGAAGTGGATGTTTCCCAATAGCTGATCACAAAGACCATACGCAAACAAATTAGTCTGAAATATTTAGAGAAAATACTTTAAAGTACTAAGGGTATTTTAGCCTCCACTGTCTATATGAGAGATTAGTGATGTGAAGTTGAAATAAAAAATCCCAGATGCCTGCAAAAGTGTTTTGTCTACAGTAACTGGCAATATGGAGGTGATAAAACATTTGGAGTCAAAATGCTAAATGAACAGAAATAGTTTACCAGTGCATTGGTGAATTTGATAGGGGAGCATTGGACATATTTGCTGGTTTTGTTAGAGGATGAGCTCAGATGCCTTTGGTTTTTTTTTCTGTTGTTCATACTTAGCCAGAAAAGTTGTAGTGATATGAAATGTTAAACTAGTACTTTGTTAATATATCTATATGCTGTTAGAAGTAAAATTTTCAGCTCACATATGTTTCTCTGTGCAAGCACAGTTCCTTGCAATAGCATACATTCAGTTTTCAAGAGAGGTAAACTTAGTAGGGAACCAGTATCTATGCCCACTCTTGTTTTAATTGGCATTAAAGCCTTCAGAAAAAAAGACTTGATATATTGTCTTTCTTCACATGCCATCTTATTGTCGTTTTCTGTATGACTCTGCGCATAAAATTCAGTTGTAGATTAAGGTACCAGAATGTGTCTACAGGCAAGTGTTTCACCTTCCATTCAGCTGACAAGAGACATCACTAGTGGAATCTGGAGAATATTTTGACTTGCCCTGATACAAACACCAAATCTGGCCAACTTTATCACTCTCCAACCTCCACTGATTCCAGTCTCCACTGACTGGAAAGGACTCCAGGGACTTACTCACTTGTAGGGGTCTGAATCCCACCACGTGAGATTGTTTCCTATATTTCAATGACAGTATTGTGTCATATGATTTACAGTGTTTTACATAGTTGCTGACATAGAAGGCTGAGTGTAATAAGGAACACGTTGTTGTTTCAAGTGCTGGCTTTGTAATATTAACAGTTTGTGAAAAGTGGTTTTGTGATTCTATCAGTAGCAATTCCTGTGACTAAACAGAGTTTTAATCATAAATTATCTTAACTTTTGCCCCTTGTCAAGGGGTTAGTGAGCAATGTCATGAAAGAAGGCATTTTTCCCTTTTATCTGATGCTTTGTGACACCAGCCTGTAAACCTCATTACATTTTGCAGAAACTAGACAAATACTGGAAGAGCTTACCATAAAAACATTTTATTCTAACAGAAAAAGCCTTCAACACCTAACAAAATTTTCCAGGAAAATGACCAGTGGAAAATAGGAAATTGTTAAAAGACTCACTTAAAGTTGTGTTCTTACACAACTTACAGTGCTGTTCACACATCCTGTTAGTTCAGGAGTTATAAAATCACTGTCACAAACGTGTATTGACAGAAGGACAAAGTTGGCCGTGTTCCAGGTTTGTGAAGCCCGTAGATGTAAAACAGACAAACGCACCTAAGTATATACTAGTGCTAAAATGTTCAAACACAATTTTGCTTAATCTGATTATTTTTCTTTCTTTAGGCCAATTTGCGTCGCAAATTAACTCATGCCATGCAGACTGATCTCAGCCATATGAAAAGAGAGAACTTCACCCAAGTGTACTTGCCAAAAGGTGTTGGCACCCAGACCAAGCGTGACAACTCCAGCAATGTACCCAGACCACAGATTTTCTTGAAAGGTCTCCGAGGACAATCCTCTCTTACTACTCATATGGTCAAAGTAGACTTAACAAGAGCAGTAGATGAAACCTAAGTGGAAATGAGAAACCTAAAGACACATATTGAATGTGTATATAAAAATCCTTCGATATATCTGAATTAAGGTATTAAAGATTTTGCTGTGTCTGTTGATTCCAGGAGCAGTTGGTTTGTTTCATTTATCTTATCTATTGTGGCTGCTGACTGGCCTTAGGTGATAGAAATTATAAGCCTGAAGCACACAGATTTCAAACAGCTTTTTGGATCAAGATGTTCCCATGGACTTTCACCTAAACTAACATTTAAATGTGTAGTGTATGTTCTGGGATTTTCTTGAAGTTTTAGTACAACTTTTGCTTGTTGAAACGCTGTCATTAAGTGAAATAAGAGTCACACATTTGTCACACTCCAGCCTTAGAGCAGAATTGTCAGGAAGGTAAAACCAGCAAAATAAAACCAGTCTGGGTCCTTGGGCCTGTCTGTTTGTGCTGGTGTTAACCCAACCCAATGAGTGTAACCCATTGCAGGGACGTTGAGAAAAGGGAATCTATTTTGGATTGCTCTGGCAGTCCTTTGGATCTCTAGTAATTTCTGTAATTGTTGGCTAAACAGTGTGCTGGGAAGCACGCTGCAAACCATAGGAACTTCAGGGCACCTTTTCGAAAGCTCTGTTTTGTTTGTGTTTGAAAAACTAAAACATAACAGGAAAAGGTTTTTAGCTTTATGTCATTGTGGCAGGGAAATATGTGCCAGGCCTGATCAATGCAACTGCAGCCAGTATTTCTGTATGTGAAAACTCGCATCATTTGAGCTTTAAGATGAAACATCTTCTCAAATGGAAGCAGGGGATACTTCAAATCAGAGATTCTTTTCATGACAACAAAGAACTCCACAAGTCGCTATCTGCAAAATGTCCAGGTGCAGAGCTGTGATTGCATAGGGTGTGCTAAGGTTTCTAAACGTCTTTTTTTTGTGTGCTGTGTGGTGCAGTGTGGTTTCCTGGTCATTGTTACACAAGCCTGTGACAATGAAGCTCGAAGATTCAAGCTGCTGAGTGATTTTTCTAGGGTATTGTGCAGGACAGCATTCTCTTTTTTTTTTTAACTGTTTCCAAGGTATCTGGCTTCACTTTTAAGTTATACAACTGGGACAAATCCACAAAGCATTATTAAAAAACCCAAAGGAGCAGGAGTGGAGCACTAAGAAAGAACTTGGCTAAATGGTCTTTCACTAGGTGATTTTATCTTTTGGGAAAATAAACTAATCAGTAGCAGCCAGATGTGCTGCTCTTCCATGTTTTTAAATTATGAGCTGGCACCAAATGAATCGATTTATTAATAAAAATTTGAATGCGATTACCAGCTGCAGCTTTAAAAAAAAAAAAAAAAAAAAAAGAAAGAAAAGTACCCTATTGCTGCTTTTGCTGCTTTATTAAACACTTCCTGTTGCTGTGATCTCTCTATATTTTTACCATCATTCGCTTTGAGGCTTTTAAGTTACAGTTTTTACCAACAAACTGGTATTTCAGTTTTATCATTTCAGTTATACAGGCTGCCCAGGGAGGTGGTGGAGTTTCCCTCCCTGGAGACATTCAAACCCCACATGGATGTGTTCCTGTGTCACCTGCTCCAGGTGACCCTTCCTTTGGAAGGGGGTTGGACTGGATGATCTCCAGAGGTCCCTTCCAACCCTAACGATTCCGTGAGTTCAAGAATCCAGAAATATATTTTATTTAATAGAAAACCGATGAGTGAAAAATTCCGTTTCTTCTACTTTGTTCTTTTTCATTGGGGAAATTTTACTGCAGCGTTGTAAAATACTGGGGAATACAATTGTAACCCACATCGCAGTTCTGGCGCTGCAGAAACGTGCCGGTACCGAGGAGCTTACTCCTGGCAATGAGAAATACGCGTGTGAGATTCCCGGGTGTTTACTGCCAATAAAACAGTTCCGAAAGAGGCCGGGTGGAGCAGGATTGTACCCAGGATATCCAGGCGGGAGGGAGCCGACTCGATGGTGCGGCGCGGGCGGCGGGGCGCTCTGGGCGGCCGCTCTGCTCTCTATGGTGCGATGGGAGGAGCGGCGGGGCACGGCGGGCGGCTCCGGCCCGGCGGTCCTGGCGCCTTCGGCGAGCACCATGTCGCCTCCGAAAGGTGAGGGCGGCGGCGCGGGGCACCCGGCGGGTTCCGCGGTTCCCAGAGGGCGACAGGGCCGGAGAACGGGGACAATTCCCACCCCCTGCCAAGAGGAAGCGCGACCCGCGCGCCGACGGCTCCCCCCTTCCTCCCCCGCGCCAGAGGGAGTGGAACTGTCCTCCCCGCTGCGGGCTGCGGCGCCGGGCGCCACCACCGCGGGCTCAGGGGGAGGAAGGAAAGGGCTGCGCGGGGTCGCGCCGGGGAGGGGCTCTCCCCGCCTGCCTTCCCGGCCCCCCCGCTCTCCTCCCGCTGCCCAGCCGCCTCTCTCCGAAGTGTAGGGCCGCTGCTTCCCGGCGTGTGGGCCGCCGGTGCTCCCGGTTCGGGGCTCTCCGGGGCGCCTCCGCCTTCAGGATCAGCGGCAGCCGCGTCTCCCCCGCCGCCGGTTCCGGCTTCGGGAGAGTCCGAACGTGGCGCAGCATGTTTGGGGCTTATCCCGAGGTGCAGGTGGTCAGTGCACAGGGACATCCCCTGCTCCTACCCTGCGGGCACCGCCGGATCAAGGTGTCTGTTGGGCTATGCTTAGGCTGGACATTAGGAGGAATTTCTTCACAGAAAGGGTGATTAGACATTGGAATGGTTGCCCAGGGAGGTGGTGGAATCACTGTCTCTGGAGGTGTTTAAGGAAAGACTGGATGTGGCACTTAGTGCCATGGTCTAGTTGACATGATGGTATTAGGTCACAGGTTGGATTCGATGATCTCAGAGGTCTTTTCCAACTCAGTTGATCCTGTGATTCTCTGTGATTCTGTGTACAACGAGGCCAGAGCGCCGGTGGTCCCAAAGCCAGAACCCTCGAGCAAGCCAGGAGGGCTTAAATCCATCAGGAAGGCAACGCCTGCCCCTCTGCTGGCTTCCCCCATGGAGAGCCTTGCACAGGGCTCTCCAGCTCTTGAGGCCGGGAAGGGTGAGGAGCAGGAGGGATCCCTGCAGTGTGTGCCAGGCACCCACCGCCCCAGGTGCCCAGGCAGAGTTGTGCTCCCTATGCCAGGCTTGGCCTTGGCTGCATCCCAGGAGCCCTGGTGGAGCCGTTAGATGAGTTGTGGAGATGTGTGGGAGGCCCGTGCTTATACCCTGAGGCTTTTGGCCTGTCTGGTCCCTTTTGCTGGAAATCATTTCATCCAAGTGGGATCTACAGGGAAAGAAACAACAGCTTCTTTCAGCTCTTTCAGCTCTTACTTTCTTTAGGCTGGTATAAGTTCAGATTTGCCAGGAGAAGATAGGGGTGCCCCAAAGGTGCTTTCCTTCTCCTCCCTGCGCTGCACTGGTACTGATGCAGACACGTGAGCCAGGCTGGAGAAATGTCGAAGCTGAAAACTAGCTGCAGATACTTTTTCACATAATGCTAGAACTATCCGGTCTAGATACTAGATTCATTATGTCCAAATTATGCATTTGGTTTACCTAAGTTTGCAAACCATTGCCAAATTGGGACATTTATTTATTTTTTTAAATAGTAGTTAATATAGGCAGGGATTAAATTCAGTTTTAGTTCATGTGTCAAAACACAGTGTTAATATGATTTCTGTAAGCACTAAAACATCATTAGAAAATACATTTTTGTAAAACTAGACTAGGTTAATTATATTTCCTGGTTGTTATGCCCTTGGATTCCCACTGCCCCTCCCCACAATCCAAATGTAATTTAAAAACTGGATTACAGCTTGTAAATCTCTTCTAAGCATTGTTGGTCCAAAAATTAATTGACTCTACCTTTTAAAAGTGGTTACTGACGTGGGTAAGATTTTTATCTATAAGGAAGTAGCTAATTTAAATGATTGCAGCAGCAGCAGGTATTAACTGTACCTTGCAGAAATGTTACACAATTGAAGACATTGCTGGTTTGAAAGAAACATGAACCAAAACACTGGTTGCACTGGATTCAGCAACTCATTCCCATATTAAATGAGCAAAGTTATTACAGATCTTCTTATCTTGTAGCTCATTCCCTGTTCAGCAGAGGAGCATAAACTTACAGCAATTAAAGTAAGTTTTTTTAGGATGTTCGGAAAACAACAGATAGTGGCCCAAAAGGTGCTGCTGAATGACCAACATCCACAGGACAGATGCCAAACATAACAAAGAATAATCTACCAGTTTGAAAGATAGTTTTGTAGAAGCCACACATTTGCTGATGTGTTGTGGTCGTGCTTCTGTGCAGAGAGAAGTCTGTTTGAAGTCGTGCTCTTTTCTCTCTCTTGGTTCAGATGCAGGATTAGCCGTTCTCTGATGTGGGACTGAACTGGCATAGCCCGGCCGTATCTACCCAAAGGAACTCTCAGGCCTCAGAGGAGTCTCTCATGAAAAACTGCCTTGTGCCAGTAGACCTGGGACAGACTAACTCCCAAATTTTGCAGGATAGTTGTTGGCTGAGGGCAAAACAGTTACAAGAATTGCTATTGTTGTAGGAGTATAGCAGTGGGGAAGGCAGAGGGGATAATGAAGATGATACATAGTCCTTATGTGGTTTAGTTTACTCAAGTAACCATAACCTTAGTGTTTTCCACAGTGAGTTTTTCAAGAAAGCCCTTTGTGTAAAGTCCCATCACCATTCTGAGCAAAACTCTTCCTTTACTAAGTTAGGTGGAAAATAGGGCTGAAGGAAATGCTGCCTTAATTGTTAAGATTTGCTAGACTGATTCCCTTCTTTGCTGATACTGAACTTTTCCTCTCTCTTTGCTTTTGCTTATCTGCTGGTTCTCTGTCAGACATCAGTATATTACGTGGAAAGGATCAGCTGCCATTTCAGAACGAGCTCCTACTGTCAGCTAAAGAGCAGAAAAGCACAGAAAGACTTTTTGATTACTATTAGATAGATATTAATGTCTGATTAATTTTTCTAGAAGGCAAGAGAGCATCTTATTTTCAAACACCTGGAATTCCTATACAAGCTTCTTCGAGAGGGCTTTAAAATTTAACTAAAACTTTTTTATGGGAAGTGTTTCCCAACATTGTAATTATTGTATGCTACCAAAGTATGTGTTTGTTACAGCCCTCCCCCCATTTCAGTTCTTAAATTAAAATGAGGGCCATGCTGAGCTGTCATCTCTGTTTTCTTTCAGAAAATGTCAGCTTACTGTTCAAGCTGTACTGCCTCACAGTGATGACCCTGGTGGCTGCCACGTACACGGTCGCATTGCGGTACACGAGGACAGTGGAGACAGAACTCTACTTTTCAACGACGGCTGTGTGCATCACTGAAGTTATCAAGTTGTTCTTGAGTGTGGGCATCTTGGCTAAGTAAGTGTGGGAATGCTAATCAGTACTTTGAAAACGGGTCCTTGCTTCTAGCCTCAGCTTCTCAGGTACTAAAGTGCAGATACAGTTGAGAATGTGGCTGGATAATCACTGCTGAGGACGGGTAATTTCAGAATGGGTTAGTGACCTCCTCAAGTGAAACTGCTTTGCAAACAGCACAATATTCAGGTGTGTCCTTTCTGCATATTTTCTAGTTTTGTATGCTTTGGAATCGGTTCAAAACGTCAGCATGAATTATCCACAATCTTTTGGGTCTTTAAAATGTTGGTGTAGGTGAAAGTTGGACTGTGAGCCATTGTCTGTTGAGTTACATAAAATTTTAAAGTTCCTACTTATAAATTTTCCCAAACAATGTTATGGACAGATATTTTGCTGTCTCCATTAATCTGGCAAACCAATGCTGAAAGACTGTGGACAGAAAATATTCGTTTCTGTAATCCCAGACTGCTGCCAAGAACTAGAACCTTAGTCCATGCGTAAGCGTCCAAAGTAGAGAGGCCATCAGTCTGCTGTGTTTTCTCTCTGCTTCCCTGTGCTACATCCTTCCTAGGAAGACTCTTTATATTCTGGACTGGTCCAAAAGCCTGGTTCTTGCCATTGTGGTAGAATTTGTTCTTGTAGCGTCTCTGCCTGTTTTGTTGTGACTTTTGGTACATCAGAAGTCTGGCTGTTATATGCTAGAGGAACATGAAATCACATGATATACTTCAGATCTTCATCAGATATTTTCAACTTAATATCCAAATGGCATTTTATTTGCTTTAGTGGTGAGACAATGTCTGAATTTGGTAAGGCAGCTGTGGCAAACTGTCTTTTGTTTAACCTTTTGTTAAATGGAAGGTCTTAAAAAAGGCAAGTGTAAGCAGTGGCAAATTTCTGTTTTTATGCACCCTGGGCTTCTCACTCTGTCAGCACAAAATGCTGGCACAAGCATCTCTGCTGACACGTGGTTGTACTGTGGTTCTCACTGTTGTGACCAGTGTGGATCCCACCTGCTTTCTGGAGACTATAGCAGCCTGTCTTTCCCAATCGTGAGGGACCTGTGGGTGGCATTTGGTAGCCTCACCTATGTGTATAATTTGTCAAATCTTGTGTACTTGGGCCCCAAGCTATTTATAGTATAGCAGAGAGGCCTAGTTCAGCAATGTAAGATGTCCCTTTTGTTTATGTTTTATACGAACAATCTTTTTGCTTGAAATAATTAAAATCAAAATTACTTTTAACTCAGAAAGAAGTCTGTTTTGTTTATGTTTTTAGAACAGCCCTGCAGAGCCAAAAATCCATGTAGCCCATCATTCTCCCTTTGGCAGCAGTCAGCAGAGGGTGCTTAGAACAGAAGTGTAGACAACAGGGAAGCACAGGCTGAGCTTTCCTTAACTGGTGGCAGAAGCTTATGGAGTGCCCATCCTGGATGCTGTGTGCTCTGTGTGATTGTCCAGTTTATTTTTGAAATGCTAGTCCCTACTGTATCTGTGAAGTGACTTTTGAAATTTAATTACATGCTATATGAAAAAGTACTTTTTAATAAACACCTTATCTAGCAGTTTCACTGGACTCTGTTGTCTTGTGTTGACAGATGTCATGAATAATCTTTCCTCCTTCATTTAGCTTTTCATATCTCTACAGATCTGTGTTTTCATCACTCATTTATTTTCTGAGCTAGGAGTCTTAGTTTAATTTTACTGTGATCATCCTAGTACCCATCCCTACAGCATTTCCAGTATAGTTACATCCCTTTTGAAACAGAATCCAGAGCATGCTTGTATTCAGGATGGGAACATGCCATGGCATTAGGCAGAGGGGTGAAGGTGCTTTCACTCTTGGCCTTGGTTCTTTTCCTGAGGATTTGTAGCATTTTGCTGATTTCACTCAACACAGCTAAACCTTGAGCTGGCATCAGCAGAGCTACTCTGATAATTTTTACAGGTGCCCAAAGCTAGATTAGAGATGGTTCTGTATTTAGGGTTGTCATTTCCTACGGTTCTTTCTTATTTATTGACAACCGAGCTTTGTTTACTAATTAAAATGGGAAGAATCTGATTCACTGAGTTGTTCAGAGGTTATAACATCTATTCTGATCTGGTCTGTAGTGGGGTTTTTCTTTCCATAGTTGGGATGGAGATGGGCACCAGCAGACACTGTTCATCAGGCCATGTTCACCTCTTCCCAGTAGGATGTCCTGCATGCTGGTGGGTCCAGATGCTCTTCTTTGCTGTCCAGGTAACTGAGCTGTTTCTCAGATGGCAAAGGATCTGGTGATTTTTGCTTAGTGTAGTGAGGGACTCTTTGGCAACTATTGAAAGTTTCCTTTTGGATATCACATATGATTGAGTATTAATAGCAAACTGCCAATTTCCTAGTAACCTAGTTTTTAGACCACTTATGAATATGCTGAACAGCAGCAATTCCAGCATAGTTTCCTTCTATGTCTCCTTTACAGCTTCCTTCAGTTTTAAATCCTAACCAATTTGTCTCACCCAAGGCAAGTTGCCTTTGTAGTGTAATAACCTGTCAGAAGAGTCATCTGTTTTTTCTGTACCGTAGGATACATTTGGGTGGGTACCTGTTCTTTCTGAAACCACCAGCATTGATAACTGCAGTATGCAGGATACTGGAGTACAACTCTTGCATTGTTCTGCAGAATTTGTTTTCTTACACATTATTACATGATGCCTTGTATTTACTTTTAAGGTATATCCCAGAAGGCACATTGAATGGATGAATGCCAAAAGATTGTCTTTCAAAAGATAAATTTATGATAGTTTAGGCTGTGTTAGTTGTTAACTCGACTGTACTCTCAATTTATCATACTTAAAGTCCTGCTCACCATCAGGTAATAACACTTTCTACATTCTTATCTGGTACATAATTGCTTAGCAATGGATGAAGAAACGTAGAGCTGATTTGCAGTTTTAACTAATTTTAACTTCACCTTTTCTAACAAATGCATGTTTCTGTTGCAGAACAGATTGTTATTAGTATCTCTCACCTATTCATACCCATGAATTGGCTTTAGGTATGGGGTAATGAATTTATGAAAGGGGGAGTGGCTTAAAACTGAAAGAGGGTAGATTTAGATTAGATATTAGGAAAAAATTCTTTACTGTAGGGGTGGTGAGGCTCTGAAACAGGTTGCCCAGAGATGTGGGCATCTAGAAATGTTCAAGGCCAGGTTGGAATAGAGCTCTGAGCAACCTGGTCTAGTGAAAGGAGTCCCTGCTCATGGCAGAGGGATTGGAACTAGGTGATTTTTATAGTCCTTTTTTTTCCAACCTGAACCATTCTACAAAGAAAATTGACTATGTTTTTAAATTCAAATCTAGACCAACTTCAAGAATGCTGAATTCAAACTAGATAATTTTTTATTTTCATATCTGATATTGCAGTGTACCTCTTTGGGCACCTTATTTTTTCAGCTGTACATGGAGACTTATTTTGAATTCTTTTTTGATCAAGTAGATTTAAATCTATATCTGCATGATCTTTGTACTGAATTCAACTTACAGTTGGAGATTCTTGATAAGTGCATGCTTCAGAAAGCACATCCACTGCACAGATGAGCTATTAGATAGTTTTCTCAAAAACCAAAGTGAAGATGGTGGTTATTAGACATGTGTTATTCTTTATTGCTGAAATTTGATGCTAAAAGTGTAAGGAGACAGAAACTACTATTGCTGCTGTGATTTGACTTTAAATGTGTGATCAGCTAATTCACTGAGCATGGTCTGGAACAAAAGCAGGTATAGTTTAAATATAATTTTCTTTTTTGACAGCCTACCTCAGTATCAATGAATAGAAGAAGCTATTATGGTGTGGTATTTTTTGACTTCTTACTTTCATGGAGTAGAACTGTGCCTGTGCTAATTATATTTTATTTATAGCTAGACATTTGAGATAGAAGCACTTCAGTCCAGCTGTACTTGGGTATTACCAGGTTTTCTTATACATCTTATCTCCCGATTATAATAATATAATATATTAAATTTACTGAGGATTAAGTAAATGAAAAATTTTGCCTATAATATAACTCATAACATTTTATGCAGTTCTGTATCTACTGCAACTAACTGTGGTGAGCTGTAGCATGAGCTTTCCCCCTTGTATTGCAAACTTTGCTTGAAGTGTCCATAGATTTCCTTGTCATGATTGTTCCCTCTGGCCAGACATGTCTTGGCTTCTATGTGTGCTCTCTGTTATGGCAAAATGGCAAAAAGAATCCCTTGAGCTTCCTGTATAAAGACTGCTCACTCTGTACAGGGGGGAAAAAAGAAAGAAAAGGAGGTATAGGTGCAGGTATATGCTTGTTGTGAGGCAGGGAAGAAGGCAAGGAAGGAGAGAAACTTCAATGGAATGATAGTGAGAAGTAAAGTCTAAAAATCTTTGGAAAGGAAAGGTTTGAGAACCTGGAGCACAGTGTCAGGGATTGGTCAGGAAAGGAAAATATGCCAAAACAAGGCAGTTAATGAAAGAGTCTGGGGCATAGAGGGATTGCTAATTTTGTTAACTGCTCATAAGAGTTTGAGACAGATAGATGATGTACATTTGTGGAAAAAGAAGCTGGGACATGGTTGAAGTATGGGGAATTGGGCTTCTGGAGTGCTAAGGAGGTTGTGAGCTATTTGTTCATATCTGTGTGCAATAGAAGCACAAGGAGAGTTAAATTTAAGAGCAGTACAGGTTGCAAGTTGAGAGGCCTGTGTGAGGACAGGAGTGATTTTGGATGTTGGTATTTGTTAGTGGCCAAGCAAGAGAAGATTGGAAAGGGGGGCCATGGGACTTGCAGAGAACTGGGGAGAGGACTGGAGCAGCAGTGACAAGTAAGCAGCAAATGCCACATTGATGTACAAATGATAAGGGAGAACAAGGAATGCAGAGGTCTGATGTAAAACCTTGGCAGCAAACCACAAATGAGGACAGCAGCAAGAAGCAATATATTCTTTCCCATTGCCTGCTCTTTCACACACTGTAGGAGATATGTGAAGTGCAAGGCCACAGGGCCACCACATGCCCCACCAGACCTCTTTACGTGTGTGCTGGTGCTGGTCCAGCATCTCCCACAACACATGTGAGAAGAGGAACCCATGGCTGCCTGAGGAAGGAGAGGTGTTTCCAGCAGAGTACTGTGGAATGGTACAATCCTTTTTGGCTGTACTGTGAGGCCCAGTTTAAAGGGGATCTGGAAAATCATGGACATTTGACATCACACACAATATAGCCAATTGAAAAGGGGAGATAGGAACCATATCCTTCTGTTCCACTGCCTATACTGACCCACGTTAGTAACTTACTGTTACAGTATTCATTGTGGTTGTTTACTTTATAACACATTAATGGATCTAACTTCTGATTCCAGAAGGGTTTTCTACTTGTTGAGAACCTCACTGGTTTTTTGCCAGTTAATTTTTTTTTAATGAGCAGAAGGTACAACTGATTGTTGAGAACATGTTTTCAGCCTTCCCAACGGATTCATTGATTTGATTTCTGTTTTAAAATACGAGTTTAAGAGAGCCCTCTGTTATGCTAATGTTATATTTTGCAGAGAAACTGGAAGTCTGGCAAGGTTGATAACATCTTTAAAAGAAAATGTATTTGGAAGTCCTACAGAATTGCTAAAATTAAGTGTTCCATCTTTGGTGTATGCTCTTCAAAACAATATGGCGTTTGTGGCTCTTAGCAACTTGGATGCAGCAGTCTACCAGGTAATACACATTTCTGTCAGTAACTGATCTGTAAATACATTTCTCTTTACTGGTTCATGAGGCACGTGTGCCTGGCACACAGTATTCTCTTTAGCCTCACTGTTAAAAGCCAAACCATGCTTTGTTATATTCAGAGAATGCACTCTGCTGTAGAGCTCTGGTTTCCTGAGCTAACCGCTCGCTGCTGGAGTCATTTCAAATTCACTTTGTTGTAATTGGCAAAATTGGTACAAACCCCCAAGGATCTGTAGGAATTCAATGAATGTAAAAATTGGTCAGTCTTTAGTTAAATTTTCTATTTTATTTTCTTGTTTTGGAGGACTTTATAAAACCACATCCTCTACACTACGTTCCTGTCTTCTTTAGGTGACGTACCAGTTGAAGATCCCTTGTACAGCTTTATGTACAGTCCTGATGCTGAACCGTACCCTCAGTAAGTTGCAGTGGTTCTCTGTGTTCATGCTGTGCGGTGGTGTTACCCTTGTTCAGTGGAAACCTGCTCAGGCTACAAAAGTACAGGTAAGAGTTTGTATTTTGCCTAATCAGATGGAGAATAAACTTCATCTGTACCTTGTATTTCACTTTACAGCAGCTGGGATGAAGGTTGAGTTTCTTGCATTCCACACAGCAGTATCTGTTTCCTATTTCCAGCCACTTCAGGTACAACATATCCACTAGTTTGATCACTGGCTTTCACATTTATGGTGTGCCAGTTCAGGCAGGCTTGTGGTATTGCTCTGGTCTCACTTGTTGGAAAGGCAACTGATTGCTACAATTAGTATTAATTACCACAGTCATCATAATCAGTCTAATGCATCGTCCTAGGAGTGTCTGAGTAATAGATTGTTTCCAGAAGTTGGCCCTGGTAACTTTGTAATTGTTGGAGCAGAGAACTTGGAATCAAAGCACTGGGCGGAATTAGGAGAGAAACTCCAGTGCTGTGTGGGTATGTCATTTAAACACACCCTTCAGAGGCACTGACCTAATCCCATTCTGGGAAGAAACAAGTGTCTCCTGTTTCTTTGGTATTAGTGGGAAAGGCCGTGCTGCTGGGAATATTGGTCACAGCTGAGTAGAGAGTGCCTCTGAGCACTGCAAGAGTACCCACAGAAAATGAAATGCCACACAGCTGCACCGAGGTCCTCTGAAGGACAGCCCTCGATAAGCAAGTACATCTTATACTGCAGTGAAATGCTAATAGTTTTGCTGTACCTAACAACGTAGCTCTGTGTCCTGGTTTTGGCTGGGATACAGTTAATTTTCTTCCTAGCAGCTGATTCAATGCTGTGTTTTGGATTTAGTATGAGAATCATGCTGGTAGCACACTGATGTTCCAGTTGTGTCTAAGTAGTTCTTACCCAAAGTCAAGGACATTTCAGTGTCTCCTGCTCTGCCAGTGAACAGGGACACAAGAAGCCATGAAGGAGCATGGCCAGGACAGCCGACCTGAACTGCCCAAAGGGCTGTTCCATACCATGGAGTATCATGCCCAGTATATAAACTGAAGGACTTGTCCAGTAGGGGCCAATTGCTGCTTGGGATGGCCTGGGGATCGGTCAGGAGGTGATGAGTAATTGTCTTGTGCACCACTTGATTTCCTTGGGTTTTATCTCTCTCTCTCATTTTGTTGCTATTAGAATTATAACTATATTTTATTTTTATATAATTATTAAACTGTTCTTATATCAACCCACAAAGTTTACCTTTGGTTTTCAATTCTCCTCCCCACCATGATGGTTTGGGGGAATTAGTGAGGGGCTAAATGATGCTTAGTTGCTGGCTGGAGCTAAACCATGGCACCCTGGAATCGATTATTGTAAATTACTGAAGTGGTGTATCCTTTTTAAAATAATGGTTGATGTTGCAGGTGGAGCAGAATCCATGGCTAGGGTTCGGAGCGATTGCTGTGGCTGTACTGTGTTCGGGATTTGCAGGTATAGTATTATTTCTGTACCTGGCTTACATCAAAAGGACTGGAGAACTCACAAGGTTCAAAACAGAACATTCCATGTTCATTAACTGTCTTTGTGGATTAGTTTATCCTCTCTGCCCGTAATTATCTTCTGCTTGCAGTAATTGTGACAGATTCATGACATGATTATTCTCGGTGGCAAGCAAATGACTAAGAACATGTACTATTGGTTTTAGATGATACAACTGAGAAGGCTGGTTTGCAAGAGAAAGTGTCTTTCAAATGCTTAGAATAACACTGTAGGGAACATCCAATCACTCTGTACAATTAATTGATATTTGCTTTACAAACACACAAAATACTTGCATTTTTTTTACAAGGGGAACTGAGCTCCTCACTCAGTTCTTGCACCAGCTCAGCCTCAAAATAAACTTTGCCATAGTCCTGTAGGTGGTAAATCTAACTGAGATGCAGAGGGAGCATGAGTAAGGCAGAGAGGTAGATGAGTAGGAGGAAGCCTGGATAAACTCCATGAAGGATTTTGGTTTTCTTTATTTTTGTTTTGTTCTACAACCAGCGTTTCCCCTCAGGGTAGCTTTTTCTCTGGCTTCTGGAAAAAGATAGCAAAACTTGAGAACAAGTGAGCTGGTGCTCAGAAACAAGGAAATGCAAATTACTACTTAATTTGACATTTGACTCACAGGGGCATATTTCACTGGCTGTAAACTGGATCCTCCCCTCTCCCTCTGTAAGAAAGCAAGGTACTATTACCCACCTCTAGTACTGTAAAATCCTGCAAGAATAATCTTGTGCTGTGCATAAATGCTCATTACTCGTGGAAAACATTCTGGTTGGCAGAAGGAGTAGAGAGTCATTTTTGTTTGCTGTCTTTTCACTGAAACGGGTACTTTGAAGCAGAAATACTAAATAAAACTGTGTAGAGCTCAATCAACTTTTCCTGGAAAGTTATAAATTTCCTCATTTAAATAGATGCTTCCAAGCCACAAGACAATACAGCATTCACAGTGGAGCCTTCAGAGTCTCCTAGAGCTCTCCCGCTTTCTCCGATAACGCGGGTCAACAGCTGTGCTTCTAGAGGTCTGCAAATTCAGAGCATTGAAAGGCTGATGCAGGCAGCTTGAGACACTCAGGGCTTTCTTCTGCAAAGGGATTGCAGCCTGTGTGTTTCCTTGCTGACAGCTGAAGCTCAGGGGCAGCTGGGAGGGACAGTGTATTTCATCCGCAGAGCTCCCTGTGCCCTTGGGGCTTTATATGTTGAAAACCTAAATCCTATTCAAATTCTTTTCCTCTTCTTCCTTCCCATGCTCACATGAAGCAGTTCTTTTGGCATTAGGCCTTCAGTTTCTGGCCTGGCCATGTTAAGTGGGTTTTATTATTCCAGTGAAATCAAAAAAAGTTGTGTGGTTTTGTCCCTCAGAGATGGAAGAGAATTTTTTCTTCAAATTGTTGATCTTGTGGTAATTTCCAAGTATCAGGGGCCCCAACAATGCTTATAACAGCATTGGACAGATATTTAATGGCAAATCCTTTGTGACTTAAAACAGTACTGAAGAGTTAATTTCTCCTAAACAGCCCCCCTTCTTTCCTTCATCTTGCCTAGTGGAGTGAATTTTATGTATATTCAGAAATCTGAAAGCATAGTTTATTTGTTTGTTTACTGTTTTCTTAGTTTAGAAATTTTACAAGTATGGTTCATACTCAAGCCAAATTTCTGTTACATTGATTATACCTGATTGTGCTCTGTGGGTCTTCTCAGGGTGGCAGAAATCTCAGGATAATTATTGTGGGTTTTTTTAAGGACTGCAGTTATTAACAATACTAGTTTGTTGTTTCGAAAATTTATATTCTTATGAGATAATATCATATTTCCTTGGGATTTTTATTATTTGAACACCTGAAATATAGATCTGCTCTCTAATTTATTCACCATAAATATTCACTATACTGTATTAAATTATAAATTGCATTTTTCATTAATAAAATCAAATAGCAAGACTTGAAGCTAACTTGGGAGTTTCAGGGTGAGTGTGTACCTAGGGCTTCTAACTCATAAGTCTTTGTGCCACCTTTGTTTGTTCCATATTCTTGTCTCATATTGTATGAAGGATCCTGGGTGACGTTGATAGCAGTAAATGTTTAGTCAGTAGGGCTTCACCAAAAGGTCATGGAACTGGCTGAGAAGATCTGAGTCCTGTGAACTGCTCTGTCTGTTTTTCAATGTGGAGGAAATTCCAGAGATTTGCAGAGCTCTGGTGGGTGAACAGTGGTTAAAAAAGCAGGTAGTGATGGCCTTGTCAAATGTCAGCCTTTTAGTCTGACACAGTGGAATAATGAAAAAGTGAGAAATTTCAATAATGCAAAACATAAAAATAATAGTATCATCAGTCTGGTATAATGAACTAGAGCTTTATATTAAAATGAATTCCACTTCCTCAAAACCGCTTTGTAGTTTCAATTAGCAGAAGGCCTCAGTTTTGATTTGCTCTTGTAGACCCCTGAAGCTGTGGTTTCAGAACAATGCTGCCAAGTGCTCAGCAAGCACAAGGCTTCTGAGGAATTTTCAGTTTTGGCACCGAGGTAATATAGCCCCCCCCGTTTTAGTTTTTTCCTGCGTGTAATGAATAAATGATTTAGGTTGTTTGCTCAAAGAATCACTGGCAACGATATCAGTAAAAGCAGGTTTAACAGAAAAGTGCGACAAATTTTGTTGGCAAGGCTCACCCTACTGCTTACTAGGTGGTTAAAGCACACAGAGAAAAACTGGACTAAAATCAATCAATCTGAAACTAAAATCAAGCTAAAATTAGTCTCCCCATGGAGACTGGGGATGGAAAGAAGGGAAAGTGTAAGGATAAAAAGGAATGAGGAACACCCTCCTGTTGGGTCACAAGGTTCAAAGTGTATCCCTTGCCAAACTTAGTCCCCGATTTGACCAATGGTTTAGGCCTAAAGGTTTTAACTGCATTTAAACTTTATGGCCTAATTTAAACTATTTAACAACAGATTCTATAGAGTTAACTATAAGCACAACAGTAACTCACTTGTAGGCCTAACTTGCTTACAAATCTAAAGCACTTAAGAGTCTAAGAGAGCAACATTCATAGTACATTTACTATAGGATATTCACACTCATACAGACCTAAAGGAGTTTGTACAAGGTATTCACCTGTGAAAAAACTTCCCTTTGGTTCAGTGAAGTACTCACATTGGATGCTTTTGCATCTTCTCAGCAGGCAAAGGGTTGAGCCTCGAGTAGTGGGGGTGTCAGCCCAGGATCCATCGTTGGCATTCGGCAATGGTCCTCCCAGTATGGCAAACTTGGGAGTTTGGTAGCTCTAAAAGGTGTCCTGCTCAGAGGGAGATTGCTGTGCTCTAAAATTGCTCCAAGTTTCCAGGGCTGTTCATTAAAAAACGAGCTCGTTAGACAGCACTAGTTCCTGGGAACAGGCAGTGTTTCTGATAAGCTCAAGAGGAGCTCAGCTCAGGTGCTGTTCATCAAGGCCAAGGCCTAACAAGCATTTCTGAGATCATAGTGCAGCCCTGGCATGGGGGATGGGGAGTGTTTTACCACCACACTGCAAAGCATCCCAGTGGAGAGGAAAAAATGTTCTCCATCTTACTGAAATACATAGACATTTTATCCCATTATTATTCTTATTATTTTATCTCATTATTAAAATAATGAGTGCCAAGGTGAAATGCTTTTTTCTGGTATAGAATTGTGCAGAAGAAACTGCTGGCCAGAATCCTGGCACATCAAACAGAAATGAGTAGTGGCCTCAATGGTCCATAAGGTTCATTGTTACATCTGTAAAGAGAAACAGAATCTATTTTTGGTGTTACATACCCATTATAATGATCCTGTTATAGAAGACAGATTTTAGCAGGATGTGTTGGGTCCTCGGCACTGGGAACTTCTGTGAAACTCATCGGTCTGTAGGACGAGTTGATTCCAGTAGTCTTGTCTGGTTTTAAAATGTACTAAAGCACGAATAATTAAGGATGACACTTGGTCTCATTGAAATGTTTTTGCTTTTTGTTTGGGTTTTTTTTCAGGAGTTTATTTTGAGAAGGTCTTAAAGAGTTCAGATACTTCCTTATGGGTGAGGAACATTCAGCTGTACTTATCTGGGATTGTAGTGACTTTAGTCGGTGTGTACATGTCAGACGGAGCCCAAGTTATGGAGAAAGGGTTTTTCTATGGCTATACATACTACGTCTGGTTTGTCATCTGTAAGTATCTTGTGGTTTTAGAATCTTGATACACTGTTTTTCTTTTTTAACAATGATATAACCGATAACAGGAAGCTACAAATTCAGTCTGACACACTTTCTCCTGTGTTTTGAGGGATTTTATTTAAAAGTATAATTTTCTTGGAAATTATTCACTTAGCTTAAAATTGTGCTGAAACAGCAGTCTAAATAACTGATTAGCAGTAGATCATCTTTAAATGAGTCATGTCTGATTTACTGGATGCCATGTAGACATCCCATTCCACTGCATTAAATCACCAGTTAGGAGAATGTAGCCCAAACAAAAAGAGCACACTGGTGGAGTAAAATGCATAATTTCAAGAGTGACCTACTGCACCTGTACTAATAGTAACACATTATCTGCTTCCCAGTTCTTGCCAGCGTAGGTGGCATCTACACTTCGGTCGTGGTTAAGTACACAGATAACATTATGAAAGGCTTTTCTGCAGCAGCAGCCATTGTTCTCTCTACTGTGGCATCAGTCATCCTCTTTGGCCTCAAAATAAGTAAGTGCTTTTTTGCCTTTGATTTGACAGCATGTGCATGTTTCCTGCCTGCCCAACCCACTGTGCACAGTTCATACCAAAGCCAGTGTTTTTGCCTCCTCTCAGTTGTTCTGGTTTTAACTTCCAAGTCTTCTCCAGAACACCTCTACACTAATGCACCATCATCCCTGTTCTGTTGCACAAGATGCCTGATGATCCTATACTTCCAAAGGCATTCGTGGTTTATTCTTTCAGAGGCAGCTACAATTTCAAACAGAAAGTTTCTTTCTAATTTAAAGAGCTGTACTGATGCATCACTTTGTGATGCAGTTTAATGTGTGGTGTAGCTGTTTACCTGGGACTGCTGTTGCTGAGTTATCGTTTCTTGTTGGGTTTAGTACAGCCACTGCCAAATTAGTTCCTCAGCTCTTTCTTCAAGTGCTTTACACATCCCTGTTAAGTTACACCCACTACTGTGTTAGCTTTTACCTTCCCCATTTGCTGTGGACACCACCATATGAGAGCAAGTCGAGCAGCAGCTGGAGTCGTGACTGATGTGGTGAATTTTTTGTGAGAGGAAACAGCAGATTGCTCTGGGCTGTTCTGCAACTACAAAGGATTTTCTCCCTGATCAAGCCTCTGTCTGGTACTGTGCCCAGTATCTCCCACTCAGTCCTTCACTGTTTAGTTGTGGGTATTGCTTACTTTTCTACCTTAATGCAAAGATGATGTGGCAACATGGTGGAAAAACTAGCTTTCTGATGTAGAATTAGTGAGTCAAAACTTAAGGAAAGCTTGCATAAGGAGGAAACCATTAGTGTTTGGCTGAAAAAGAGCATCATAAAGCAAGGGATGGAAAAAAAAACCACCTGGTTTTAAAAGCTCACTTGGGCAGAGCATTTTCTTGATGGTTGACACAAATCAAACCTGGACTAGTGACCTTTCTGTGAAAGTCTCATTAAAGTGTTTCTTAACCCCATCTAAATCACAGAATTACAGAATATGCTGAGTTGGAAGGGACCCACAAGGATCAAGTCCAATTCCTAGCCCTGCACAGGACCATCCCCAAGTGTCACACCATGTGCCTGAGAACATTGTCCAAACGCCTCTTGAACTCTGTCAGGCTTGGTGACCGCTGTGACCACTTCCCTGGGGAGCCTGTTCCAGAACCCAACCACCCTCTGGGTGAAGAACCTTTTTCTAGTATCCAACTTAAACCTCCTCTGACACAACTTCAGGCTATTCCCTCGGGTCCTGTCAGTGGTCACCACAGAGAAGAGATCAGTGTCTACCCCTCTTCTTCCCCTCATGAGGACATTGTAGACTGCAATGAGGTCTCCCCTCAATCTCCTCTTCTCCAGGCTTAACAGACCAAGTGACCTCAGCCACTTCTCACACAGCTTCCCCTCAAGGCCCTTCACCATCTTTGTTACCCTCCTTTGGACACTCCCCAGTAGCTTAATATCTTTCTTATATTGTGGTGCCTAAAACTGCACACAGTATTCAAGGTGAGGCCTCACTAGTGCAGAGCAGAGTGGGACAGTCACCTTCCTTCACCGGCTGGTAATGCTTTGCCTGATGTGGAGAGGCAAATAAGATGTGTTATCACGGGCTACTTTATTACATCCACTGGTTTTTTATCACTAAGTTTATTGTAACATAAGCCTGTCCGGGTGGCACCTGGAACTGCAGGAGACGCTTCACTCTTGCTTTTATGACCATCACTATGTTCTTGCTGATATGAGACTAATTGGAATGGTGTGGGGATTGTAAACTCAAGAGTTCCCAGTGACAGAGGATAAAGCTAGATGCTGTGTATTAATAGCCTGTTGTTCTGTTTAGAATAACTTCAATACTATCATTCAGATATTGTCATAACTTACATAGCTTGCTGAAGGTTTCTGCTTATATGAATGTGTTTATTTAAACTATTTTGTCTCCTTTCAGCTGTTACCTTCTCCCTGGGTGCTCTCCTGGTGTGTATTTCTATTTACCTCCATGGATTACCTCGACAAGACACCACAAAAATCCAGACCTCAGAGACTAAGAGCTCAAAAGAGAGACTTGCTACTGTGTGACATTGTCCATAAAAATGGACAAAAGAAAAAACAGACTTTAAAAAAAACTTGACTTTTTAAAAAAATTAGCCTTAAGCTAGTCATGAAATGGTTTAAGTGGGACAGACTAAAAGCAGAAGTTATATGTGGAGTTTCCAGTGGTTGATACTGAGGCTACGCTGCATCTGAGGAGCTGCCTGGGTTTTTTATGGAAGGTATTCTTCATTCACATCGACAATGAAGAGTCTCATTTACAAGGAAAACTCAATGAAGGAGCTGATCACTCAATTGTATATAATGTTTATAATGGAGGCAAATTGGTTCTTTGTGCATTTGATAAACTGTGTTGCCCTTTGAGGGCAGAAATGCCTGAAAGCTTCATAAAAAAAAAAACTATTAAAAAGAGCAATTACTGCCAGCATTTTCTCTTAAAATACTTGGCAGCTGTAGTTTGATTAATGACAGGAAAAGTTTTTCTTCTAGGTGATAGGTACGAGACAACTCTACTGGGAATAACCATGCTCTGAGCATCACTTACCTAGGAGTGATTAGAGGTAGCACGTGCTGTATAGTTTATAAAGTCAGGGTGAAAGAAAAGTGTTTCTCTGAAGTTGTGGATTTCCTTTCACTTTTCAAATGTTTTTTATACCTGCTGTAGCTGGTAGAGGGATCTTCTATGTGTTGTACAGGGGAAAGTTTGCACGTATTCCTGTATTTTTGGCTTAAGTATGAATGAGTCAAAAGATTTTTGTCAGTACATTTTCTCTCTAAACATTTCTGTGCACACAGTGATGCTTGAAAAGAGTTCCTGTAATGCATGTTAGGCTTTGAGTTAATTTATTATTGCCAACCATATAATTTCAACTCCTCCCTCATCTTCTAAGGCCGTCCAGAAACTGCAGCTCTACAGTGAGGGAAAAGTGACTTTGGTGCATTTGGGCAGCTTGTTGTCATTCATAGTGGAGTCAAAATGTGACCAAGTTTATACTCTTGGCTAGATTCCTTCAGACATGAGTTAACCAGCTGGGTTTTACTTGAAAGTGGGGCATGTTACACACAGCAGTAACAAACATGCTTAAATTCTGTTCCGGTGGGAGAGGATGCTCCCCTCTGCCTTTCGCCAACTGGTCCATATGTTAGAGCAGCCACCACAGTGCCACTCCTGGGAAGTCGAGGCTTCCGTGGTGGAGGGTATTGCCAACCAGCTGCAGTGCCTCACAGGTGCTGCTCCCCCTCTCTCCAGCAGTGTGATGGCTCAGGGGTGCCAAGCAGCACCTGCCACACCTGACTGTGGGTAGGGTGCAGAGGGAACACTGTACTTCCTGCTCCACCAGCTGTGCAGCCATCTCTGCTCCCCGGCCATCACATCAGAGTGACAGAGGAAGGGGTGAGGAACAGGGTGTGACAGCTGGCAGTTGGGCTTGGCTAAAGGGAGAATGCAGTACTTCACACAGGAAAAGAGCTCTGCATGACCTGACTAGCTCAGTTTGTTACAATATATAGAGCATCTGGAGCCTTTGTGCCATCAGGCCTTAGTACACAATGGCAACCGCAGGAGGGGAGAACTTTGCTTAGGGCAGCACAGTTAATACCACTTCCTCTACCAAAAGGATGTTATATTTACATGGCAAATACAGAGCAGTTCTCTTTTATGGGAAATACCAGGTAGACCTGAGTCTTAAGTACACTGCTCCACCAAGTGCCTGGGAGAAAGTGACTGTGGCAGCCTTACCCCTCCCAGATGGCTGTGCCATGCCTACTCTTCTGCAGTTGGTATGAAGGAGCACAAACCTCTAAGCACAGACGGTGCTTCCAGGCTGCATTAGCAGTGACACGCAGGATTCATATTATCCGGGGGAAAAAAATTTTACTACGAGATGTGACTTTACATTGCATGCAGCCTCATTACATTTGAGTCACAGGTGTAATGCCAAGAAGTTTCATTCCGTTGGCTAGAACCGAGCGTGCAGCTTGAAAGAGACAGAGCCTTGCCTGGAAAACAAAAGAAGAGTCATCTTAGGGTAGTGCTACAGAATAGGGTGTGGTTCTCAGAACAGCATGCATCCTCTGTCCCCACACTGGGATTCAGACCTACATATAACCCCTGTACTGAGAAACACACCAATGCTGGCAGCATTTACACCAGCTGTTGTTAGCCCATTGCAGTGTCAACAAGAGGGACAGTTGGTCAAACAAAGGAAGCTGGAAAGGCGTGTTTAGCCAAGCCCTCTGGGCAGAACAAGCAGAGATGCCTGTGGAAGAGCTAGCAATGACTAAAAAATGAAAATCTTTCATGCACTGGGGGCTAGTACAGCCCTGAGGGTACTGTTGGAATTCCCTCCTCCTGCCCTGCCTGTGTTAGAGGTTGTCAAGCAACTATGGGCTGCTTTTAAAATTTCACTCTTCTTTGTCAATGTCTTGGCTGCTACACAGCTGGCTGTTTGCTCCAAAAACCATAGTTCTTGAAAGCTGTCACATTGTAAGATATTTAGAAAATATTTTTTTTACAAGATAAGGAACTTAAGTTTTCCTTGTAGCTTGGACTGTCTTAGTCCACCTCCAAAGTAGGAATACCTACAGCATCTAAGCTCAAATACAGACTGCAGCTCCATCAATTCCACTGAATGTTTTTCCCCCACAGCACAGCTCAACACTTAAGTGTGATTTACTACCAAAATCAAATAAGTAGTTGCTTTTGAAATAGATGAAAGAAAGTAAGAAAGGCAGTGTAATTAGTGTATCACTTATTGAGCATTTAGGGGGTCAAACATTGGGAGATCAGTAGAAAATAATTTGCATTTATTTGGGACTGCAGATTAAAAGTTGTCAGCCCCTAGCTTTAGCTAGAAAGGCAATACGGACAACTTGGGATATGGAGGTGGCAAGAGGGAGGAGACGGATTTAGTTCTCTCCTAATTCTCTGTCTTCCCACGTAACCACTAAAGGAAACCATCAAAAATTAACCAGCAAGTTTAATGCTCAAATGTTTACTCTTAAAACATTCAAAAGGAAAGGTGACGAGAAGGGGTTTGACTGGATTTGGAGCAGTTGTCGGTTGGGAGCATTGTGTTTTAGGAGGATTAAGCAGAGCAGCCCTTTCCAGAAGCCCTTTCCAGCAATCCCTGCCTTCCCAAAGCAGTGCCACCCACGGGAGAGCCTCCCTGTCGGCTCCTCCGCCTGCGGGTGTGTATTCACACAAGTGGTTACACAGCTGGATTGGCAAAGCCAGAATCCTTCCTCTGGGACACCCTACACAGACTCTAGCCACCTAAGATGCTGTACCATACCTGTGCTACTTCAGGGGTGCTGCCTCTCACAGGAAGGGTTTTGTGTGCCACGGCTACAAGATGGCTGGAATGGAAAACACAGAGACAATGGTGAGAACCAGCAAGTCGCTCTGGGCTACAGAAAGCAGCAGAACTGGAAGGGCCACCCACAACTGCAGCATGCCAGAGGCTGATTTACAACAGCCTCTCACCTGGCTCAAGGAAGGCATGATTTTCTATAGCCTGCATGGTGTCAGGGCATGCCATTAACAACTTATTGCTCCTGAAATAACCCCAAAACAATCTCTCTGCTACCTGCCCATTAAAAAACCAAAACCAAAACCATGCTCAAAACTGGTCTGGGAAATCCTTGAGATTCTACCCAGGCATTCCCAAGGTGTGTGATTCCTTATACAATTTTTCTGAATTTGTTAAAGCCTTTCCCATACACAGGCTCTACATCTTCCTCCACCAAGCCTATTCTTGCATTTCACGGTGCTGTCAAATCAGACAGGTCCCTATGGGAGTCACATACACAGTATGACTTACAGAAATAAGCTTTGTTCATTGGCTGAGATAGTGGTTAAAAATGGTTTGGACAAAGTTTCCTAGCTGAAATTTTGATATTTGAGATGATGTTATCAGCTTAAATCTCCTTAAGATTTCATTAGTTCAGCATGATTTTGGTTCTTACACCGGGTTACAGCCAAGTGACTCTTTTTTCCTAAAAGCAGTTAGTTTCTGAGAAGGCTTCTGGCTCCAGCCTTGATCTCTACTATTTATTATATTATTTGCTATCCTACTTTACTTTATACATTTCCTGCTTCAGGGAGACTGTCCCACAAATTTGCATCTTCCCACTATTTTTACTCTTCAAAGCAGTGCAGATATGAGGGCTGCAGATCCAGCTCAGGAAGACCTGTCCTTACTGGAGACGCCACCAGTATCAGCCATCACCTTACCTAAGTGTGAGGAGGTAGCTGACAATGTGCTTGGGTTGCAGATCCTGAGAAGATCTATACAGGACCTCATCGTACCTGTGAAGGAAGAAAAGAATTGTTTGGTGCTGCAGTAGTAGAGGGTGTGCTCAGATATAAGGCTCATCAGACTTGCTTAAGTCAGAGCAAGCACACAACTACAGCTGTAGAATTAGCAAAACTGATCTTCTGAGCCAGACCTAAGCCATGTCTTTAGCACACAGCGCATTATTCCTTCCTCGTTCACTTATTATTGAAGGAGATTGCTTCTGCTCCTCATTTTGCAAACACCGTAGATGGCAGAGCTCAGAGAGACAGGCTACCCAAGAGAACACAAGAGCTATATTTGCTCCTGGAACATTATGTCTGTTTTTACATCTCAACACTAATTGTAAGTTCCTAGAAGTAAAAAAACGTGTTAAATAACCAAAAGAGTCAAAATAGTCTCTTAGGGGGCCTTGCCTTTAGTAAATGCAGCTTAGACTTTTAAGTAGCTAAAGGGAATCTTGTAACATTAAAAGAAGACAAAAACAATGTGATTTTACATAATCCTGGAATACAGATTCCCACAGAATCACAGAACGGGTCAGGTTGGAAGGGACCACAGTGGGTCATCTGGTCCAACCTCCCTGCTCAAGCACCATCATCCTACATAACTTACACGTAGTTGACTTTGTAAGACAGTATTAAACTGGGCAGTACAGGCAAAGTCATGAAATCTATGTTTTTATTTCATGTGTTCTGCTTTCCTTTTTCACAGTAGGTACCAACACCTCTGGGGCTGAAGAGATTTCAAAGTGGGCAGTGGACTTCCTAATCTTTGCTCAGCTCCCAGGCCCATCCCAGCCAGCATGTCCAAGCTGAACTGCCCTGGGATCTTCCTCCTTTAAAGACAAGCTGCAGAACTGGGAAGTGCGCTCCAGTAACAAGGGCTCAGCAGTCACGTAAGAGCTACAGCACCAAGGAGGGAGCGCTCCTCATCCCATGGGTGGGTAAGCCACAAAAACACCTCTTACACGTGCACTCAGCAGCTGATCTTAGCCAGCATGCCCGAGGTGGTCACTGCTGGGGAAGGTCGCTGCCCTCACACACTGTGCCACTGACATGAGCAAGACAGAACCAGGGGAACCTCCACACGGTCTCAGGGCCAGCACAGACACCAGCAGCTGTTGGTCCCTCAGAGGCAGCAACGTGGGTACAAAGAAATTACTGCTAACAAGCACCATCAAACAGCCACTGATAAAAGCTTCAAACAAAGTTGGTACCAAATAAAGGACCCTGATTTGATACCAGCTTTTTTGCTTCGGGAAGCTGCCATTTCAGTATTGGCCTACAACAACTTGCTAAGATTATTTTATCAGTCAAGTAAGTTTGCTTTTGCAGGGTTATACATAGAATCATAGAATGGTTGGCGGAGATCTTAAAGATTCTCTAGTTCCAATCCCCCTACCAGGTCTGGTTTTGGCAGGTTACTCAGAGCCTGGACTAGTGGAATGTTCCATCTTCTATCTGCTACCTTCAGTCTACTATTCATTAGACTGCAAAGTTAATGGTATTCAGAATTGGGCAGCTATTTTCAGGTATATGTTTGGTATATTTTCAAACAGCAGAA